TAAAAACCGGATCGGACCGGCCGGTCGGACCGGTTGGACCGGGAACCGGCCTAGTAACCGGTCTGGTTTACTAGTTCGATCGTCTGTGTCATCAAACCGGTAAAAACCGGAAAAAACCGGGTTGGACCGGAAAAAACCAGGTTTAAGGTTGGACCGGTTCTAATGCATTTTTTATTTTTTAATTAAAATTTAAATACAAAAGTTATAAAAATTAAAAAAAAATTGTTTAAAATTAGATTATGTTGCAATTATTTTGTAATTTTGTATTATTTTGTTATGTGTGATACATTTGTTTAAAATTTAAATTTAAATTATGAACTTGTGAATTTATGATATGATATTTTCAAAAAATTTAAGTACTAGTTATATTTGTTTAGAAACTGAATCATCCGGTTCGACCGGTTTTATATCTATATAATGACAGGTCTATTCAACCGAGTTATCCGGTTTAATCCGATTTAGTCATGCGGTTCGACCAGTGACCCAGTGGTTCAACCGATAAACCAGTGACCCAGTACCCTCACCGGTTCAATGACCGGTCCGGTTTTTAAAACACTGGTTTTAAAAGTGAAATAGGGGCCTGACTCGGCCACCCGTGTCACCTGACGCGGCCCATGTCAGGATGGTTCCAAGAAGAATAAAGATGAAGATTTAGACAGGGGGATGACACGAGTGCCCGTGTTAGCTGACATGGCCCGTGTTAGCAAGTCTGGAGCAGTTAAGTTTTTATCAGATCACTAGTGGGCCAACACGGCCGCCCGTGTCAGTTGACACGACCCTTATGGGTATTTTGGATATTTTCCTATTATTGTATTGGACCTGGGAGTATTTAAGACATATTTTGAGAAGGAAAACAAGACTTTTTGGTCAGAGAAGAATTGCACTATCAGGATTGGAGAGCTCAAGGTTGTTGGGAAACTGAAGGGTTTCATGAGCGGAAGCAATTAAAGATCCAAGAATCCTATTATCTTGTAATGTCTAATTTTTGCTTTGTATTTTCTTTGAATATTATGAGTAGCTAAACCCCCCAATGATAGGGGTGTCCCTGATTTGAATCTTTAATGACTCTGATATTAGTATTGTAATGACATTTCCTTTGTTTTCATAACTGATTTGATCTCTAATTGTTCTTAATGTTTGCCCTGTCGAACCAACAGGGTTTGATTTACGATTATTGATTAGGTTGGACCGTCGTTGTTAAGGCTTTACTTTTGATCATCCTATATTAGATATCACCTAGGACTAGGGATACCCTATAGGAACCAGAATAATTCTTGATAATTGATTCCTTAATCTCACTTATAATTCTCTATGGCCATAGGAATTAGGGTAGAAGATTAAATGTTTTCTCACTGAGGACTTAGTAGTAACCATTCTAAAGAATCAGTAATTAGTTAGTTACAGTAAGTTATTGCAGTGTTAATTCAAGGTTATTATTAAGTCAGATCATACACCTTCCCTAGCATGTTACTCACATATTTCCAAACCACTTAGTTAATTTTCCTCTTTCACTTGAAAAGATTTTTATAATTAAACAAAACCCTTTTAAAACCCTAGAGCTTTTGTTTAACTAAAATAAAACCTGAACTCTATATTGTCAAGCAGTCCTCGAGATTGATATTCAGGGAAATTTCTATTGTTACTACATTGGAAAAATAGTCCACTTTCTATTTTCCCGATCAGAAGCAAATGGTTATTAATGTGCTAAGTAACAACCAGGATCCCACTAAGATGAACAAAACTTTCATTTCCCTCATTCCAAAAGGTAAAAACCCCTGCTCCCCAAAAGAGTAATGGCCCATCAGTTAGTGTAATGTTATTATGAAGTTGGTAACAAAGGTGATATCATATAGGATCAAGTCCATTATACCTGAAGTTATTAACACAAAACATAATGTGTTTTTAAAGTGTAGGATGATAACTGACAATGCCTTGATAGCCCTTGAATGTTTCCTTTGGATGAAGATTAAAACCAAAGGAAAGAAAGAGGTGATAGTGCTCAAACTGGACTTGTCTAAGGCATATGACATAATTGAGTGGGACTTCATGGTCAAGACTTTGGAGGTGACGGGGTTCCCAGACAGGATGGTTAAATTGATTAAGCATTGCATTGAAACAGTCTCCTACATAATCCTGATTAATAGGAAGCCAAGCAAATAATTCTTTCCTGTGATTGGGCTCCATCATGGAGACCCACTCTTTCCTTGCTTATTTGTTATTTCTGCAAATGTTTTATCAAGAATGCTCAGAAGGGAAGCGAGATATTCAAGCATCCATGTGATTAAGATATATAGGAAGGCACCTTTCATCACACATCTCTTCTTTGCTGATGACAATCTGTTGTTCACAAGGGAAAACGTGAAGGCATCCGACTAAATTATGTCAATCCTTCAACAATACCAAGAAGCTTCAGGATAAGTGGTAAACCTTGAGAAATCAGAGGCATCTTTCAGTCGAGATGTGGATGATGAAGGAAAATTTTTGATCTGGAATAGGATGGGAGTTAAGACGATGATGGCTCATGCAAAGCACTTTGGACTACCAAATTTAGTTGGGAAATCCAAAAAGGTTATTTTCTCTCAGGCGATCAATAGGGTCTGGAAAAAGGTTAAAGGTTGGATAGAGCAGTTATTGTAAAAAGATGGTAAGAAGGTGTTGATTAAATCTGTCGCTCAAGCAATCCCCACTTATGTTATGAGTGCTTCAAACTCCCTAATAGGGGATCTTTTCTAGAAGAGAGGAAAATTCATTGGGCCGGCTGGAAAAGTTACCTCAGGCAAAAGGATTAGGTGGATTAAGATTAAAGGGGATTGGAAACTCCAACCAAAGCTTACTGAGTAAACAGGTTTGAAGACTATTTATTGAAGGTTCTTCTTTGCGGGAACAGGTTTTCCACATCCGTCACTACCCTCAGAGTAACATACAGGAAGATAAATCATGGCACGCCCCAAGTTATTCATGGATGAGCATATTAAGTGCTAGAGAGCTAGTGGAAGAAGGTTGCAGATGAAGAATTGGCAATGGTAGGACAATTGAGGTGTGAGGGATAGATGGATTCAAAAATGTGTGGGCCAAAAATATAATTCTCAGGCTAACAATGTTGGCAAAGACACCTTGGTTAGCGAATTCATCAATGAAGATCTCCGTTACTGGGACCAGGTGAAGAATAGAAATAGTTTTAGTTTGATGGATGCCACAAACATCCTGAGCATTCCTCTCTCTTGGAGGCTTCCAGGAGACAAGTTAATTTAGGTGGCGAGAAGAATGGTTCCTATTCAGTCAAGTCAACATACCACAAACTTATGAGTAAGAGAAGTACAAATATGCCTAGACCTTCATGCCAAATGTTCCAAGGCTTGTGGAGACGTATTTGGGCTGCTCCAGTGCATAACAGACCAAAAACTTCATTTGGAAAATGGCAAAGAACTTCATACCTGTCAAGGCAAACCTACTCAGGAAAGGCAACAAATCTCCCACTGAATGCCCTCTTTTTCATGATTGTCTCGAAACAAATTAGCACATATTCTTTGAATGTAACATTATGAAGCTAGTTTTTTTTCTCCCCTCCCCTTAGGTATGCGTATCTCACCTAACACTAATGCTCTTTGTTGGATAGAACACAAGTTGTCTGTTGCTGAATCTTATGGGGTCCATATAGTATGTTACGCTCTGCATTATATCTGGTTTGGGATGAACCAAGTGATTTTCAATTCAGGCAGTTTCAATCCTTCCTTGGTTGCTAAGGATGCAGTTGACAAGGAAAATGAGTTTTCTAAGGCATCAATGGTCTAGATTTCTCAGTTGTATTAGAGCCTATTGTTTGGTGTTCTTATATGTGCTTATCGTGGTCAACTGCATCAATGGTCTAGATTTTTCAGTTGTATTGGAGCCTATTGTTTTGGATTGCTTAATGTTGTGTAATATTTTTAAGGATCATACTTGTTTGTATCTCAATCGTCACTATAATGAGCGAGCTCACCCCCTAATTTGCATTAGCAACTATGTAGGATCAAAGACTTGGGTGAGACACTACCCCATTGGTAGAGATTTCTCTTTGATGGATCATCATGATCCTTGTTTTTCTTGAATCAATTAGTCCTCCCATAGAAAAAACAAAACAAATGTCAATTAAATTGAATAAGAATAAAGCTCATCTGAGTTTACTAATTACTTTATTTATCCCAACTAATAAGAAATATAACATATATATACTCAATTAATCTCAATTGACAACGATAAAGTATTTACAGAAATATGAGATATTACACTAACTAACTAACTAACTAACTAACTAACTAACTAACTAACTAACTAACTAACTAACTATATATATATATATATATATATATATATATATATATATATATATATATATATATATATATATATATATATATATATATATATATATATATATATATATATATATATATATATATATATATATATATATATATTAAAAAACTGAACCAATCGAACTAACTAAAATCGCATTGATTTAGTTTGTTTTTGTTCGGTTTTATTTCTAAATGTAAACCGAATTAAACCAATTATTCCAACCTATTTGTAATATTGATGCATATTGTTTATTATTCTTAAAGCATCTTGCAGTGGATATTAATTAAGGATTTGTGGTAGATCACCTAAACTATCGTTTGAGCATGTTGAAATGATTTATCTTTCAGTATTTTGAATGCTTAGGTGCCCTGAAAATACCAACAACAATCAACTTATCTATGTTGTTTAAATATTGACGGTATAGTGATGAGATAATGAGAAGCCAACAAGTCTAGCCACAAAATGCTTAGTCAAAGTGAAACATGGGAAGTTCAACTAACTAAAGATGGCAAAATCTCTTAATTTTCTCCAAACTACCCTCCATCAAATCTCCCTTACTCTATATAAGTCCATCAATCATCCCATTGTTCCTCATCAAATCCAAAAGTAGCTTCTCTCAATACAAAAATACTACTTAGCTCATAAAATTAATCAAGTTATCAATGGCATCAACCAAATCCTTCATCACTGCTTTACTTTCTGTTGTAACAATGTCAAGCATGATCCTAGAAGCACGCCAACTTTTGCAAACAACCACACAACCAAATTTGCCTGGCATTCCAAGTTTTCCAAAACCAACAACATTGCCACCTTTGCCTTCAATTCCAACATTTCCTCAAGCAAGTCTTCCTCCATTACCTACTACAGATTCATCTCTTCCTAAGCTCACTATGCCACCACTTCCTAGTTTTCCTACAACTATTCCATCTCTCAACATTCCGCCTTTGCCAGCAATCACTTCACTTCCCAACATTCCCACCTCAATCCCGACCACTTTCTCTTCCATTCCATTTCTCTCCCCACTACCTTCAACTTCTAGCCCTTAAACACTTCTTTACAAGTTGCATAATGTATTATGAAAATTATTGCTTAATTTCTTTATTGTGTGTGATGAAATAGTAGGAGGTTATAATGATAGTAATATCTCTTTGTGTTGTATGGTGTGAAAAAGTCTTTGTATTTTCTCTCTTTTTTCTTACCAGTTTAGCACTATGTTTTGTATTTTTGAATTTATTTAATTGATGTTAAATTACACATTTAGATACAACTATGATGACTTCTTTCTTATATTAATTAACGTTGGGATTCTTATTATCTTTTCATAATTTCATAATAAGTGAAAAACAAGAGGGAGATTTGAATATTAGAAGTAGAAATCTCAATGATTTTAAATTTTAGTTACATATGTGGTTGCAGGTGATTGCGGTCATTAAGATTGTTGCCATGGATATTGAAGTCATTGTAATGTGAATTTTGATTAAGAAGTGTTTGAAATATAATATTGAAAAATAATTAATTGTTAAGAGTTTTTATTAGATTTTTTTTAAATATAACCAACTATTTCAAATTAATTCTCAAATAAAATAAAGTTTTAAAATTTTTTTCAAAGTGACTATCATTTAACTTTGGGTCGTCAAATCATTTGGCGAATGCACCTCCCATTAGACTCAGTCAGCTCAAGTGACGAATTAGTGTGTGACCTTCAAACGGATTCGCCAATCCAATTGGTGAATCAGACCTGTATCTTTTTTTTTTTTTATTTTTTATCATTTTCAATATTTAATTTCTTTTTATTTGTTTTTATTTTTATTTTTATATTTTTTTGTTTTATGTGATATATTTAAATTGATTTAGTTTTAAATTTATTTAAAATAATAAATATATTTGTAATACAGTTTTAAAATATATTTTAAATATATTTGTGATTTAAAATAAAAATTGATTTAAACAATAAATATAGTTTTTAAATTATAAATATATTTGTATATAATTTTTAAACATAATAAATATAAATAGGTATAAATTTTAAAACATAATAAATATATGATTAATATATATTTTTAAAACATAATTTGTATATAATTAAATATATAATAGTAGGTCACATTTGAATTTTGATATTTTTATAGCTTTCGTTGAAAAATTTTGGGGTTTGTTGAAAAAAAGTATACAAATTTTGTAAGGGTATTTAAGACATATCATATGGGGCACGTACTATTTTATTTTTCTATAAATACGACTGCAAACGCTTATATTTTTCCACAACATTATATACCAAAAGACCGAAGTCTTAAAATTTTTGAGTGGAGTGAAGTCTAGAATGTTTGCATTTCTAAATCAACATTTTTCGTCGTCGTCATCAGCATCGGAGGAACCGTTTCCAATATTTCCTCTAATGAAAAGAAATGTCCTAGTTTATTTTTCAGCAACAAAGCCTCCGATGAAGGTGCTCTTGTGGAATACGCAGACGTTGGAGCATTTGCATAGGGAACTGAACCGCTGGCTAGAAGGAGATATTGCTCTAGGCGAAAAGATAAGGAAAATTGAGAGGTTGGACGAGGAGGCTAGGAGAAACGGAGTTACTCGTGAATGGAGAAAAGTGGAAAATGATGCTGGTGTCCTTGTGATGATGTTAACACCAAAGAAGATAACATTGATGTTGTGATATCGTAGACGTCTTGGTGCATTGTTCTGTTTTATGTCTTTATGTTGTTGTTATTTTCGGAATGTTGTTGTGATGTTAAGTTATGTTTGTTTAATTTTTGTTGCTTGCTAATTGTAACCGGTTAAGTATGCTTTAAATAGAATGAAATTTGCTATTGATTTAAAGGGACACGGTTGCATATGAAACTATGATCTGCTGCTTGATCCTACGTTAGGATATTTTTTTACGATTGTGTCCTGGTTGCCGACACGAACTACATAATCTTACCATCTTGTTTGCGGTATCCATCTCGGTTCGAATGCGCGTGCTGTTAGGGCGACCCTTTTTCTTTCTTCGCATCAAATCATTATGTCAGACAATTCCGCCTTCGTATTGAGGCCAATAGTCCTCTTTTGCCACCACCTGAAAGCTACATGTGTAGACATTGCATAGACTTATCACTTGGTGAACTGCAGAAAGAAGGTTGGCTAGGTCTTGGCGCGCCTTCGAACATGCTGCTATAACATGAGAGCAAGGCATACGAAATGCCTGGAACTTCCAACAATCACACCAGCTCCTATCTAGTTCAACGCGGTAACATCCCCTAGGCCTTCCTTCGTTGTGATCGATCGACTCGGCAAAACTGAACCAACCTTTATTACGGTCAAAGATTGTGACCACGTGTGTGTTGGCTTTGACAACTTCGTCTTTCATGAATGTTGTTGAAGTATCACTGTACAACTGACCAGATTGTAATATTGAACCCCACTTCGTACGTCTGCTATCAAAGAGTGCGCCTAGCCTAAAATATGTTGCCTTTACGAAGGCAACTATCGGTAGGTTTCGGATTCCCTTGAAAATAGAATTCATTGATTCTTGGATTACAAATAGAGGTTCTTTAACTCTCAAACTCCTCTCATCCCAGCAAATTCTTCTCATCCTCATACACTAAAACTCTTCATATACGAGCAAACTTTTCTCATCCTCATACTCTCAAACTCTGTTCATCCCAACAAAATCTTCTCATCCCAACTCTCAAATTCTTCTTCACCCAACAAATTCATAAACCACAACGTCTCTACTCACAATGGAAAACTCTCACAGAGGCACATTTGAGAACATCATCGAGTTTGTAAGTATTTTTTTTGTCTATGTTTACGATCTTTAGTTCTCCTTTAAAACTAACGACACTTAATTTCTTTTGCAGGATGCATCAAGGTTTCGATGTCGTGTGCATGACTACATACCACACGACCCTTTCATATAGGGATACCTTGAACATTGTGGGTTTGGTAATTTAATTAAAATAAAATCATACTCACTTGATGCGAAGTTCATTCTAGTGTTGTTAGAACGCTGGAGACCAGAGACACATACATTTCACCTACCTTTCGGTGAGTGTACTGTGACTCTTCAGGATGTCTACATGTTGCTCGGCCTACACATCAACGGTAAGGCCGTCAACGGCAAAATTGATGTTAACGACCAACTTTGCTAAGATTTATTGGGCACCCCTCTTTGTGTGGGCACAATTGAGGCAGAATGCGAGGGTCGCCCAAGGGGTCAGGGAATAAATCATAAATACCTCAGACAACACTACAACAATATTGTCTTAAGTGAGGAGTCCACCGAGTATGAGAAAATACTCAAAACTCGGTGCTATATTATGATTTTATTTGGTCATTTTTTATTTTCAGAGGGCACTGGAAATACCGTAAATATTATGTATTTACCATTTCTATAAAACATAAACAAAGTGTGCAAATATAGTTGAGGATCAACTATCCTCGCCCATCTATATAGTGCATTGTGTAAAAATTCCAAAAAAAATTCATGTACTTTTTATGGCTGTGCATATCTCCTTCAAGCGTGGGGTTAGTCTAGGATACCAACGCTTGCTCCAGTAAACCGTAATCTATTTACATTCCCATACGCTAACAAGTATGTTTGTTTTCAAGACTATTTAACAACCAAAGTTTCTTTGTAAGTTAATAATTCGTAAGATGTGTCTTAGAGTCTAACTTATCTGTGTTTCTTTTTTTAGGTGGTCTGTTCCGGGGATGAATTATCAAAGATGTCCCAGGAACTCGATAATTGTGTATGGGAACCTCATCGAGCACATTGGGCCAAATGATGTAATTCATCTACCTTTACTTTGTCTAACTTATATGCATAAACTTGTCTAACTTTGTCTAACTGAAATTATTTACCTTTATTGTAGTTTGTCTGGATGCCATACAAGAGTCTCGACCACTAGCCCGACGCTGATGCTGCTGCTGTGTGAACATCCAAAACACCCATCATTAGGTTCACTACGATGGAGATGCACCAAAGTGACCGGGTGAAGCTACAATTTGGGATGGATCAAGATATTCCAGATGCTTCGACGTCATTGGGACAGTGGCATCAGCAACAGGTGGACTCACAGTGGAGTGCCAATCATTGGATGGAGTTTGCGAAGGAGATGTGTCAGCATTGGAAGAACAGAAGGCAACACATCTTAACCGACCATATTGTGGAAGGGGCTAGGCCAAGTTATCAATATATGACTTGGTTTATGTCGGTTACAACATCTCAATCATTTCTGTCTGAGCCGACCTATTTGATTGACCCAAGGCAACATGCATTTTCATCAAACACACAACAACAATCCAATGCCCAACATCCACAACAACAACCTTACCATAACCCATACATGCCACCAAATGCCCAACATCAACAACAACAACCTTACCATGGCCCGTACATGCCACCAACCCAATCACAACATCAACAACCATACCAATATAGTCCTGTCACGTCTTTTGACCCTACCCCCTCCACCTATAGCCCAGATAACTCATTTGACCCTACCCTTCCACCTATCCACTATTTGACTACCAAACCCCACAACATTCGACACACCGTTTACAACCGATTCGATGTACGAATTTGGACAACCATACCGTCCATACTCCACCCAACCTCCCTGACATTCCTACGAACACATGGGCATTAGGCTTAACTACGGAAGCGCCGTTGATAGTGGACCTCCCGACTATTGGGGTCAAAGGATTCAAAATTTATCTGATACGTCGGGGTTGTCCCAACAAATATCTCTTCCACAACTCAACACCCAAAGACCGGACACACCTCAGCAACCTCGTGGTAGACATCGTCGCCGCGCGCATCCTCCACAATGTGGCACCGGTGATCGTTTGGATAGAGTCGGCCATTAGTTTTTTTATCAATTGTAATTTATATTCTAATGTAAATTAATATAAAATATATTCCATTTATTTTTTAGATTATTTAGATTACTTATATTATTTAAACTCTATCCATTTTTTATATCAATTATAAAAAACAAAAAATAAAAAAATATGAAACAATTAAATAGAAAAGGTTTTAATATAAATTATT